CTTTTAATTGTTTATAATGTCTGTGCTATCTTCCGATGAACTTTTTTTAAGAAGAAATCAATCATAATCTTGCATCACCAGAAACTTGAAACTTGGATCTAATTCTTATAAAAGTTTTTAAAAGAATGAGGCTACTATTGTTGAGTCTTTTAATTATCTATGATTGCTTGCTTTTACTTGTTATTAAGTTTGAAAGTGGTATCCCTGCATTGTAATTTAATGATTGGACTGTTAAGAATGCTATATAGATAAGATACTAATGTTTTTACTTTTTTTGAAGTACTTTTCGTTTATTTAATAGAAAAGATTATTGCAATTTATTTGTAAGATTTATCAAAATGTGTAAAAACAAATATTAATATAAAAAACTAAATTATCTTATTTATACAAAATTTTTGGAATTTATACAATATTATCAATAAATATATAAAATTGCACGAGTTTAATATTTGACTGATTTTAAAAAAAAGATATATTTTCTCTTTGCAGGACTTTAGATGCCCCTTCACTGAAAACTGTAAAATTACACCTGTAACCAGACGCTTTTGTCAAAAATGCCGTCTGGACAAATGTTTGCGTATTGGTATGCGCAAGGATTACATTATGTCTGAAGAGGACAAAGTTCTAAAGCGTGAAAAGATCGAAAAGAATCGCGCGAAAAAACGATCTCAATTCGATAATGCCACAGCATCAAAGATCAAAAAAGATTGCGTGGATGATTGTACATTCGAAGACACGTCGATATCAGTCAATTCGGTCGCGTCAACGATGTCGGAGACGTATTTTTGGGAATCTGACAGAAAATACACAGATTTGGATGGTAACAGGCAGAATGTCGTCGAGAGTATGAGCCCAGTGACAGCAGCTAGCGTACCTAGTCCTTCAAGTCCACCGGAGAGCACGAATATCGCTGAAACAAAGACGTTGGACATGCTGAAGGAATCCGCTCATGGCTCGAGATCTAATCTTGTGAGGTACAATCAACCTGTTTTGTATGTAGAAAACGAGATAGAATCAATAAAGATTGAATCGAAATTGTCTGTTCATAGCCGTGCGAGATCGTTCACCGACTTCAATGTGGCATCTTCAGACACAGGAAAGGATAAGAACGTACCATCAAATTCAGGGGAATACGAGCAGAATTCGCTAGAATTAAGTTCCGAGTTTGTAAGCGTTAATAGCGAATCGCCGAGGTACAGTTCTTTATTTGACGAAAACGCGCCCAATTATTCCAAATTTGAACAAAGTAACGAGAGTTCCTTGGTATACGTCGATTGCGTATCGGACAATCGGACAAGTCGACTCGATCCGAGTTTACAAGCACAATTCGAGAAGGAGGAGACGACGATATGTCAGAAGCCGAAGGAGACGTGTTCGAGCGGAAGCAATTTAATTGCCAAGTTCAAACAAAATCCCAATCTGTTCACAAAGTTCGTCAATAATCCAAATTTAGTTGCCAAGATACTTCAAGATCAAAGGGTAGTAATGAAGATTATGACGGACCCCGATATGGTCACGTGCTTGGCAACGGATCCACATATCACGCAGTTTTTAGAGGAGAATGACGCAACTGATACGAGCGACGGGCGTGGCCGTGACAACAAAACAGGAAGTCAGTCTCAGAAAGAAGCTCCGCGGAATAATGATAGCTCGAGTAATATCACTAGGTATACACCAAAATCTAAAAAAAGTCACGTCGAAAATCCGATACTGACAGATCTAATTACGAATCGTAACACGGAAGAGTGCAAAAATCAAAATTTAGAACCTAGCATAAGCACAGATTGGAATAAAAATACAGCTGATGTTACCAGAGATGTTCTCCAAGATGTTCAAAGGTATAAGACTATATATCCAGCTTATATAAATGTCATATTTATATATACAAAATGCTATAAAACTGGCTGTTGAAATTGGATATTTTTTTCAGGATACCTATCGCTGCCAACTCTATAGAGTCTATATTATGCGAAGCCATCAAGTTGGAATATTCAGCATTTTCTAGTTTAAGTGGTAACCAAAGCAGTAGGGATTTGAATGACGCCGAGAGAGCGAAATTAAACGAACTGATAGTTGCTAATAAAGCATTATTGGCTCCTTTAGATGATGACATAACAAATTTGGTTGGCGAGGAATGTAAATTTAAGGTATAATGCTGCTGAAATTTTAGATGTTTTAATGTAGAGTTGCATTTGGTAAAAACGAATAAAGTATATAATAAGAAATATCTATTTTGCAGAATAATTTCGGACAATCTGATCCAATGTTGTTGGACGTTATAAATTTAACGGCAATAGCAATTAGACGCTTAATAAAGATGTCCAAGAAAATAAACGCCTTCAAAAATATGTGTCAGGAAGATCAATTGGCTCTGCTGAAGGGTGGTTGTACGGAAATGATGATTCTAAGATCAGCCATAAATTACGATCCAGATAAAGATATATGGAAAATTCCTCATAGCCAAGAGAGCATGTCCAATATCAAGGTTGACGTTTTGAAGGAAGCAAAAGGAAATTTGTACGCGGAGCACGCGAAATTCGTCAGAACATTTGATCCCAGATGGCGGGATGAAAACATCATTCTAATTTTAAGCGCAATCGCTTTGTTTACTCCCGATAGACCGAGGGTTGTGCACAGTGATGTTATTAAATTGGAGCAGGTTAGTAAAATCTTCAAGTTCTAAAATATTTGCATCAATTTATGGTGTAATTATTTATAGCGTCCTATAATTATCAAAAAATCTTTCAATGACTTCAAAAATCAATAATTAATAAATCAAAAAATCAATAATCAATTTATAAAGTATTAGTAGATTCTTTTTTATATATTTTTTTCTTGACATATAAAATAAATTTAAAAGATTTCGCGTTTGGATCACATTTTTCATTGCGATGCATTTCTTTCTTTCTTCTAGAGTTCTTACTATTATCTTCTAAGACGATATTTGGAAAGCGTTTATCCTGGCTGCGAGGCCAAGTCCATGTTTCTGAAGTTAATACAGAAGATTTCCGAACTCCATAAATTAAATGACGAGGTTGTGGGAGTTTATTTGAATGTCAATCCATCCAGCGTAGAGCCATTGCTTATAGAAATATTCGACTTAAAGCACTGATAACTAGTTTATAGAGTCACGCATTTTGTCTGTATAATGAGAAAACAAATTAAGAAACCGTTGCATTCGTGCTGGAATATATTCGGAATATATAGCGGTATTTTAAGTAAAAGAAATCGATTGTTTCAGAAATTCACGAAAATCTGATTGTGATAAGTAAAATTCAAATTTCTCTGCATTGCCTCTTTGTATAAATACTTATAGCAATACAACTTTAAATATCTTTGGGTGATAGAACAAAGACTATACACCTATAAAAAACATAGAACATAAAAATACTTTGATATGATATCAAAATATGTTTAAGAAATTATAACAGGAAGAGATCAAGCCAATATACAATGTAGACATCCTGCATGACGATAAATGAAAGGTAGCGATATCAATAACAGTGACAATTTAGTAGTAGCTCTCATTGCTCTCTCGGCGTTTTATTAGCAACTGTCATCAGTTTAATTTCGTTATCTCAACGATTCTCATCAATTTAAATAAATAATGTTAATTGAACATTAAGAATGTTGTAAAAATAATAATTAATGATAGAGCAATATTTCGCTTTGTAATAGGCATATAATATATCGTAAACATATTTCACAGAATATCCTTTAAATTTTATATTCTCTTCATGTACGAGAGTGAGTGTACAACGACAGCATAATAATTCCTAGGTGGCTGTTTCAAGCATGTTTTTTCTCGGGGGATAGTTAAATCTATATTAAAAATATATATTTTTTTTATGTCAAATTTTACATTCTAAATAATTATATGTTATTTATATGACAAGGCCTGTGGATCCTCACAAATCTATATATGTATATATAAGATCACATAAGCGTTGTTAAAAGTTTGTGCTTTGGAGGATGTATTGAGAAAATGAGATTTCAATGCAAATCTGACTATATGAATTGTGGTGATTATAAACTTTAGTCATAATTAAGTGAAAATAAGAAGGATATTATTATATTTGTGCGCATGTTGTGTGTACGCATGTTACTGTTGCAATGTAAATGAGATAAATATTGTGATAAATCCTGATACAAATATATTTTTCAAAGATATGTTGTGTGCCATATGTAATTTCATGTTAACGAACGAATTCATTAAGATAAAATGAAATGAAGTTTTTCGTACTTCATATCTATTCAATTTGCAGTAATGATAATTGCTATCACTTACTAGATATGTGATACATCTTTAAATCCGTTAATCATCTGCGGTCGTTCGGTGGTAAGAGGTCAAGAGCGTACAAAATGAGGATTACTATTGCGAAAGAACAACCCCCTAAGATTATTAGGCTGAAGAGAGATATAAGCAAATACAACACAATTTTTATGATTAGGAAGAGGACCCATGATATGCAGCTCCATGCCGTATTCCAGATTGCTTTCAATCCCATTCTTTCAACACCATGAAGTTTTATGCACATTTTGAAAAGCAATAAACAAGGGAAACAACACATTCACGTTTCGATTATACTATATGTCAAAAATCATTTATTTCTTTGTTTTAGTGTAGAAAAATATATATTTACGATTTTATTATACTGTTTTTTTTTTATAAAAATTTATATACACATTAAATCGATATTTTTATAAATCTGTAATTTTTATAAAACGATACTTTTTTTTTATTGTTATATTTCTGCAGATTTATCTAGCTGTCTATAGCTTGTCATCATTCATATATATAGGGTGAATCACTAAAAGTGTTACAGGCTAATATTTCTGAGACTGAACGGGATATGAAATTCTTATTTTTCAGCAACTTTTGTATTTAAAAAAATTAACTTCATCAAACAATGCCCGCTTCGATACCAAACAATCGCTGGAAAATAAAGATTTTATATCTTGTTCATCCTGTATATTTATCTGCTATCTGCTATTTGTGCATGTATGTGTATGTTTAATCGCCAATCAAGACTTTGGATTTTTAAATTATCAATCATTTAGAGATAATCTGTTCGTAATTTTTGCGCGATATTTATAGATAAAGCTTCTTTCAGCATTAAGTAAAAGATATTCTCTAGCATAATATAAAGTATACTTATTTATTTATTTATATATTATTATGCATCTCTCCGTTTTCGTGAACATGAATGTTATCGGAAAGTCTAGCGTATGATTTTTTAATTCCGTCGTTCGCGTTTCCGAATAATTATCACTTATAATGGAAGAAGATTTCGACGTTGCTGTCGTACGGTTTAACGAATGGATAATTGATTTTCTCCGCGGCCAGATAGCAGGCGCCAAACGCCGATGTCGTCGTCAAATACAATAGACTCAACTCGTCCACGACCCGTCCGTCGTGAATTTCATTTACGAAACCATTCTTCATGAATTTCCACGATTTCCATACAGATCCGACGCAGATCACTTTTAATCCACCGTGAGCCAATTTAAGATCCTGAGAAAAAAGATTGAACGAATTATTGATAAGTCAATTTTATTATGAAATTATTGAAATTTCACATATGAAAAATAAATCATTTAATCGCTACTGAAGTACTGACGTTGTGCGCCTTTTTCGAGAGAGCAATAATGTGTTTCGCCAGAAAACGTCCAGCTTCCTCAAAAATCTTCAGGCATAAGGGATCGTCTTTCTCGCAACCGATCGCGATCTCTTTGGCGAAACCGGCGATAATGCTCTTGTCGAAATTTGCATAGAAATACGGCAATATACTGTTTCTGTCGATCACATTGAAGTAACTTCTCATCGCTGGCCATACGTAGCTTATGGGTTCTGGTGCTTCCGCGAAACCGTCGATATCATCAAATACATATTTGCAAGCGCGATGGGCGATCCAATAAGCTTGAAAAATTAACAAGAGAAAGCAATTTTAATTGCAGCTTATAAGGAATGCAATTAGATATTTACACTTATCATCATTATCAGTGAATTTTTTACATATAGAGATAAGTATATTAAAGAGTATTTCAATTTTTCAAAAGAAGAGATAAAGATCTTTGAATCAGATAATTGCCAATGTTAGTTTAGAATATTACGTTCTAACAAGAGAGAGAGAAAGAATTTATTTAAAAAATTGTTATCTGAACTCGGAGAATTCTGAAAGAAAAAAAAATTTATATTCAAAAACTTCGCTTTTTATTTAAAATAAAAATCAGTTAAAGTGCTAAGATTATTTGTTAATTTAGAACTTTCGCGCTTAATTTTAAAACTTTTTACATTCCTATTCTTTTTTTGCAGTAAGAAAAAAATACATACCACCTCCCTCATCGCCCATCATATGTCCCCATCCTCCGCATCCGTGAATCTTTCCGTCAGAATTGAGGAGCATAGCATTGCTACCAGTTCCGGCAATCAATACAATTCCGCCTGATTGCAAGCCAGTTCGAAGACTACCAAGGGTATCCGAGCTAATCGCGTAATTCTTGGCAGAATTTGGATATTTCTGCAGCAAAGTTTCCACGAGCTGACGGTTAGTGGTTTCCTCCTCGCAACCACTTAAACTGAGTCCCTATCAATGAAAGAAATAATTTTAAACTTTCTCTCTTTCTTTCGAAGAATATTTCAATGTTAGATCAACGTCGATTTTGAGTATAATCGAAGATTTAATATTTGGAAACAGAAATTAAAAAAGTATAAAATGAAAGCTACATCTCGTTTATGTCGAAATCATCATTATGGCACTTACTCTATTTTTATCATTTTAATTATATTTATAATTAAAAAGTATAAATTTTATATTAGTGATAGTATTATATAATAAAAATAATTATCTATACTTACTACGCAATCTAAAGGAACAGATTCTGGTATATCTAGTGCTTGTTTACCCTTCTCAATCATCGCGCTGAGTCTGGCAACTGTCTCATCTATGCCAATTGCCTAGAAGAAACAAATCTTTTAAATGAACAATAATTTTCTCTAGAAAGAACAAAATGGCATTTCTTTAATTATTTATATCTTTTTATCTCGAAAGCGCTGAGTTCAGTTTCGAAAATTTTGCTGAAGTTTTCCGTCGTTTTCCCCGTGTCTTATCGAGATTTACGTGTTTTTTAACTGGATTTGCAGCACTTTAAAGATATAAATGACATTTTATATAATTATTTTATTTTTAATTACCCAATGATTAGTATTCGGTCCTTTAATTTCCGTTAGTTGCGCACCTTTTCCATCGACTATTACAAGCGTAGAGTGCGTGCCACCTCTGAAAATTAATTATTTTGTAATTAGATCTATATGCATAGACATCTTTTAAACATCAAATAGTTATTCAAATCCTAACTGAATATATTTCACCAAATTGTATGAGTATTATACTACTTCTAAATTTATCTCCTCTCCCCTCTCTCTTTTCAATCACTCTGAATATGCAGCATAATTATTTATATAATCATTTATATTTTATTATTTAGTGACTCAATTCTACTGAATAAAAGTATGTATGAAGAGCTATCTCGTTTCAGAACAAGAGATATACATAAGAGCTATCTCGGAACAAGAGATGCATATTATATTTTATTATTTAGTGATTCAATCCTACTGAAAAGATACGTATGAAGAGATATCTCGTTTCAGAGCAAGAGATATACAAAAGCTCGGAACAAGAGATGCATAAGTCGCTTATCAAAGTTAAGCGGCTTAATGAGTGGTGTTGATTGCTGTTATGAATTGTCTAATCTATGTCCCTCAATCTCGTAGAAATTATTGGTTATCGCGAATTAAAAATTATGAAATATTATATATAATAACAAAATAATAAATCCAAAATATTCCCATCGCTAGAAATTTTTTTTTTTTTTTTTTACTTGTTTTCACTATGAAAGCCAGATTTCTGATTTTAATGTAAAATATTATTTTACATCGGATAAGATAAAAACAGATATCGAATTTGTACTTTATATTATTTAATACTTTGATATGATTAGCATATAATTTTGCTTTTATTTTACAAATTATGCATAAACTTATACTTCGATTCGTATTTTAATAATCACACCGGAAAGTAATATTTGCGTAATCGCGGTACGATAAGATAATATCTTCTCGGAATATGAAAATGTGACGTAAAATGATAATATAATATTAATTTACACAAATATTCTTGAGATCAAATTAAAATAAATTATATTTTTTTAAATGAACGTTAGACCATAATATATGCGATGTAGGCCAATCATTGAAATTAATTTGAAATGCAAGAAGACACGAAAAATATTTAATCCAAATTTATATTCAATCTAATTTATGATCCGTGAATATTTATATCTTTAATTTTAATTTGTATATTTATTCACTTATGTTAAAATGTGTGCATTATAGGTATAATCCTTCATTTATAAAATAAAGATTGCATATCATATTACATTTTATATAATATAACTCTCTCAACTGGTACACCTTGACGTTGGTGGAAGGGCTTAGTACCTGGAAGGTTTATTGTTTATTCTAAAAGGGAAGTTAAGTATCCAAACGATTTGTGACAATGCTGTAAAAGCATCGCGAATAATTGGTCGCGTCTTCGCGCGATTTTTCGATTTCGTTTAGATAAGCGGTTCGGGTTAAATCGGTTAAAATGCAATCGATTTCCCGATCAGAAGAAGGTGGAATCGTCTTCGTTTAGTTCCGTCTCGTCTCTTATCTCAAATATCATCATATAGTGCCGTCATATATCATATTTTCATATGTAGATAACCGAACACCACGACCTCCTTGCTAATTATATTTTGAAAACATATATGTGCTTCAAAATAAGAGTCGGGGCGAATACAATTTGCGTCGATTCCATCTCTTGATATTATTTCAGTATCGTTCAAAATGTTGCGCATCGGACTTACCCCTCTATACCACCGATTCTAATATCCTCGGAGTATTGCACCTGGTCCTGCGGCAGTACCGCCGTTTCCTGCACTAGGTCTGCGGACTCCGTCATTTTTGTATACTCCCTTAGGTCCCTGCGTAATTGATATTCATCTACAATCTTCTTCTGCTTCTTCGCCTTCTTGATCTTCTTTTTTCCTGCCATTTTTCAAAGTTGTTTTTTCAGATTCGTGCGACGAGAACTTTGCAGGGATTCGGCAGGATCTGGAGGAAATAGGATAATACGGGATAATTTCGAAAAATGTATACGAACTTTATCACTAGTTAACAATTTTGTAATTAGTAAATTAATCGAGCAATTAGAGGAAAATAACGATCTAAATAGCGTGATTTAAGATATATTTGAAATCGATTTCAAATCTTAATCATTTCAAATTTTCTGATTTTTATGAGATATAATTCAAACTGCACTGTCTACTGTGCATTTTATATACAGCAACATTAATCTTTTTTTTTGCAACTAATAATTGTAATGTTTCTTTAGCAATATTATAATCCAATCTAATTGTTAAAATTTGCTATATGTTTAAATTAGTTTAATAAAATATTGTCATTTAATCTGGAAAGCATAAATCAACTAATCAGATAATCTTTTCTGTGATCTTAAATAAAATTAATTCTCGCTATATATAAATGAGGAAAAAGATACAGTTGAAATCTCGTTGATTTTGGCCTTATGAATCGAAGGAAAAGAGGAAAATTCTTGGAAAAGAAAGATTAAAGGATACCCTCACTACAGTATGAAATAGCCGTTTTTTTTTTGTTTTTATAAAAATGCTTTTAGCTTATGAAGGGGTGCGACATTAGTATTTGTGAAAGTACGTGTGGAAATGTACCAAAATCGAAACGGGTCAAATTTAAGAAGATTCTACTGTACAAAGATAAACATAGTTATTGCGCATACATATACAATATTTTACATTAAAAAATTTCCCGATCTAAAAATCCTTTAATCGATCTTTTTTTCCACGTAGAATTCGCACATGCGCGAATGTCAATGTTTTGTGACAAGCGTACTTCGCCTATCTGCATATGTGCATAATAATTACAAGTATAGTTATCCCAGAACTTGATACAAAATTAACGAGAAATAAGACATCTTAATTTTAGCGCAGACATAGCATTTTCGCTCTCCTCTCTCGCGGTACGCCGCGATATAATGGCAATGTGTTTCGTCCAATGTATTTTTTGATGTCCTTGATAGAGGAATGTGCGAACGCAGAACTACAGGGCAGACCCGGTGAAGTCTGCCGGTGCATGCGGAGTGGTTTTTGCAGTATCGCAGGGCAATGAAAAGTTTGGCCTTGCGCGTACTCCGACTTTCGTCACTCAAACTTTCTGTTGATGTGCGACATTGCGAAGATCTCCGCTGGCACGCCTAGCCGCAATCTAGCCGCGCGAAACGCGCTCATTCGCCAATCCCTTTTAATTAATATTTCAATTATTGTGAAAATTGCAAAATGGTAAAGGACTTTTCTATTCATTTCATACTGTGCTCTATCCATTCACGAGCGTTGTCTAGGGTGCTTTGGGACACCCTGTATAAAGCATGTTAAACTGAATAGAAAAGTCCTCTGTTGTTTTGCGATCTTTGCGATAATTAATAAGAAATTAATTAAAAAACATCGGCCAATTGTGTCTTGCACAAGCACGTGGCGAGAAGAGATTTCCTACTCTTACGCGGTTGCTAGGCGCGTGGCAAATCGATAGGAGGGGCACTTTACAAAGGCTGTATATATATGAACGAACACTAGTTCTTCCCACCACTTCACTGCGCGCCTAGCAGTCGCGTAACAATAGGAAATCTCTTCTCGTCATGTGCTTGCAAGACGCGGATTAGCCGATCTTTTTTAATTAATTTCTTATTATTTATCGCGAAGATTGCAAAACATATAGAGGACTTTCCTACTCAGTTTAACATGCTTTATATACACCCGAAAGGTCCACGAATTATGAGACAACTTGTATAGAAAAATATTATATGATTGATTAATTAATTAAATTAAATTATTTTAAATTTGAAAGCAAATTTTTTCCCAATTTTTAATTTTATTTTGATTGCAATTTCTCGCGCTGCGTGTATATATATATACACATATATATATATACATATATATACAAGTGTGTATGTCTTATAAAAGAGAAAGTCATTAAGCAAATTATAGAATAGATATATTTATCTCGAATAACTTGAAATAAAATTTCCTTGAAACTTTTTCCCGACTTTCAACCTGAAACAAATCGGCCATATTTGGCGAAAGGTATTTAATAAAATTTGTCTCTTAAGAAAAATCCCGCGTCCTTAAAACCAATTTGCAAATCCGATCGAAAATCTCGCGAACACATTCGATCCTCTCGGTTTTCCGGCAACGACTTCGAGTTCGTTAACTTACTATGAACTTCCTTGGCGCCGAAGATACTGATTGGAAGTGTTCAGTGTCCTATGTGCATGTCGGTGGTAAAAAACATTTTCATATGATTTGCAAAAATTCCGTGAGAAATTGTATCTCTCTGAACGGAGTGTGCGAGTCTAGCTGTGGGAATGTCGATAGCAATAATTGCCGATCGAGCTTTGACGTAAAAGAAAACAATCGACCGCGCCGCGCAACGTTATTTCCGTCACTGCTTTGGCTGGTTGCATACATGATATATTCTTACACTATGGTCGCAATCTCGTAATTTTTCTCCACTACTCCACTCCATTCTGGCGTGCTAGATGTCGCACGTCTACGGGCGCACGTCTGCAAAATATCGAACTGCCGACAGAGGATTGTAAGGGAGTCTATTCGACGGAATCACGGATACATGTTTTTACATTATAATAATGAATTGACAAATCATGAAGGAATCCTACAATTATATAATTGATTGCCATTTTAATTGTAGTAAATGGAAAGTAATTTCAAGATAAGGATATATAAGAGAAACTTGATTTCTATACCTTTTGTAGAGTTAACAAATTGTATGGAATGAATATTTTAAAATTCATGTAAAACATATCCCTTTTAAAAAAAAAACCTGATTTTTTTATATAATTTCTGATTTGATGTAATTTAAATTAAATAACTTTTACCTTTTTTTCCTTAGTACAGAAGATATATATTTGTATTTTTTTTTTATTTATATATATACACATTATATTGTTAATACACTCTGTCTAATCCTTCAACTTCTTTCTTTTCATCGATGTTTCCATTTATATTTATGCAGTTAATTCGCAACATTGTATGCTGTATTCTGAAGACTGAAAGAAAAGAAATTAAATGTATTAAGACAAACGAGATAAGTAGCAAAAAGAGAATTTCATTATTCTCGGTATCTTACAATTTATACGGCGATATTGTTTCCTCTTTCGAAACCTAAAGCGAGTTTTTGTGTGAGATAAAGTTTTTTCAATAACTGTCACATCGACCGAGATTAATTCTCTGTTTAAGAGCGGTCTTCCTACAAGAGTGAAATCGGTACTGCCGACGAGCAACACTTTTTCCAGCTTTAGACGATCGCCTATATTCGGTGGCCAGAATCCCTCAACAATGATAATGTCATTTTCTGTTACTTTGAACTGTTTTCCACATACTTGCACAACCGCAAACATACGACCGATCTTGTCCATGTATAATTCTATGTATATTGTATACAAATTTGTATATATATATATATATATATAAAATTATTTATGTTAACAACCAGCGCATATTTTATCTTTCTCTTCATCCCACTCCTGTACTTCTTTTTGATAATCTGGAATTTCTCTCATCCATGGTGGCTTAATTGTTCGGTATTCTGCTACTGGTGTCTCCCATAATCTTAATCCTAAAATAAAAGATTTGAAGAGAATTTCGTTATTTCTTTATATAAATTAATAAACATTTGTCTTCTTGTTAACTGTTTATACCATGCAAAATTTCATTAAAAAGCTTCATGTATAATTCTTCTTTTATACAGAAATTTTATTACAACAAATTATATTAAATTAAAGAGATATACATCAATATTAGTATCAAAATTCACAATTAAAGTTTTTTAAAAATATTATAGAGAATGCGGAAAAAAAATGTGTGTGGGAAGGAAGAGGTTATGTTTACATCTAAATCCGGCTGTATCGTTTCTGCAGAATCGTCAGATATAATTGCATTGAAATTACATACCCGGATAATATTGCTTGCAAATTGCGATCGGTGTCACTCTTCTCAAACAATTACTCGCCGCGTAATGAAAAAGTCTTGAAAAACTAAGTAGAGTTGCCATCGCGCATACAGAGACTGTTCGAAATTGACGTGCAAGTAGTTCTTCTTTTTTCACGTTTTATTTACAAATAAAACATGTATCGATAATTAAACTATTGTCTCTCATATATACATAACAGTTTGTCATCCGCAAAATAAAATGAATATTATCATAAATCAAGCTAGTAAACACACTTTTTTATTCAAGAGACAATGCGCCGTAACTCGCGGATGTTAAAACCAATTGGCGGGAATATTCGAACGATTTCCGATTTCGCCAAATCAGCTGGATTTCCGTAAATCGTGATAAGAATTAATTAATTAGTAGTAATAATAGTATTATATTAGTATATTAATATATAATATATTATAATTATAATTCTTTTTTTATATCATCCGTGAGCTAATGCATTTTTTCTCCCTTCATGCGTGATGACGATGTGTGCGAATTTACGTCGTACGCATCGCGCACGCGCATTGGACGGAACGGTAGCGTGGCCAGTTTCCGGTGTGGCAGAGACAGACCGAGACGCGCAGAGATGTCGTACGTGTACGCGACGACGATCGCTTGTCATGTTTGACCGTATTGCCGCAGTTGTGTGTACTGTAGAATTCGGTGATAGTGCATATCGTTGCGTATCCTCGCAGGACCGATCGACCGTCCGATCCCGCGTTCCTCGTGCGCTGCTGAAACGGCGCGCGCAGTGTCCGCAGGTATGCAGTTCTACAAGGAGAAGCTGCTGTCGCCCGGCCAGCTGAAACGATTGAGCGAGCACAAGTATAGTTGCACGAGTAAGAGCCTCCTGGACGGACTCTTGCAGCCCTGGTGGGACTGGTTGGTCAGCAAGGTGCCCCTTTGGCTCGCGCCCAACCTCATCACCGTGCTCGGGCTCATTGTCAACATCGTCACCACTCTGATCCTCGTCTACTACAGCCCGGATGCGAGGGCCGAGGTAGAGATAACCTGCTTAACATTTACCGAAATTTTACCTGAAGGGACGCTTTCGTGAAGTCCTCTGAGCGTTGCGTATTTCTATGCGATTTTTTTTTTTTTTTCTCAACAATGATAATGTCATTTTCTGTTACTTTGAACTGTTTTCCACATACTTGCACAACCGCAAACATACGACCGATCTTGTCCATTGCTATTTGATTATTGATTTCATTTGTCACATCTGTTGACAAAAAAAAAAATAAAATACCATCCAATTAAGGAATATCCTTAAAAAATCTAAAAAAGAGTAAATAATAGTTATACAAATTTATATATGTATATTCTATAAATTTATATATGACACAGTTATGTACAAATTTGTATATA